AATCACATGTTTCACAACATAAAAAAGATCAACAATCGATTTTGTCACAAAGTGATAAAACGAGTGTCCATTATGCTGGTCTGATATAAAAAATTTTTCAAGTATTAATTAATATATGTTAAGTAATTTATTTTGCTCATTTGAATTTAAAAAAAAAAATTTAAATTTTGATTTACTTAGTAATATTATTATCTCTAATCCAATTTTTCAGGCACATGCATGCTTGAATTATTTCTTTCTTCAAACAGCAATGTTTTTTGTGATTAGGTCACCACCACCTGAAAAGATTCTTTCAACAGATACACTTGTACCTTATATTAAATAATATACATATATTTATTTATTTTTACAAATTAAATAAAAGATATTAAAAAAAGATATCTTACCTGGAATTGCAAGATAGTCATGTGCCATCTTAGAAAGATTTGGAAAGGTGGCTTCATGAACCTATCATATTTAATGAAAATAATAATTAATGTTGAAAAATAAATATATTACAGTCGGCGCTCGATATAGTGAACCTACTGTATAGTGAATCGTACGATATAGTGAAGATGGAAAATTTCAGTAGGGTAAAAATGGGTGTTCTGGCACAGTGGTATTCATTTTGCATATCAAATCACCCCGCCATATACCAAAGAGCATATCATTTTTCATACATCTAGAATACATTATTTTACCCAAATTCATATCAAAAAGGATAACAATTTTTATCACTAATCATTTTACTATCAATACACCCCGCAAAACATCAAATAGCATATCATTTTTTTTGAATATCTAGACCACATTCTTTCACCCAAATTAATATCAAAAAGGATACCAATATTATTTGATATAGTAGAATTCAATCTAAAGCCGATTCTTCACTACTTTTCTGGCACAAAAAATGTGACCATACACCTCAAAGGGTAACAAAAAATGCGACCATATACCATAAAGGGTAACAAAATTTCATACCATATATACCAAAGGGTAACAAAAAATGTGTCCATAGGTAACAAAATTTCGTATTATATATCAAAGGGTAACAAAATTTGGGCCAGGTTTTTTATTGCAGAGCAATGGCTCGAAGTGCCTTCACTTATCAAGGTTCTATTTTTGAAACCTTAGCACGTAATCTATTATAGTATTGGATAACATAGTACCCTTTTGATATATCGAAATAATTAATTAAACAAAAGATTTTTATAAGTATTATATTATAATTCTGTAGATATATACTATATACAAAATGGTTCACACATGTGATAGATGTAACAAAGAATTCAAAAAATTATGGATGCTTTATCGTCATCTTCATAATAGAAAATTTCCATGTAGACCTAATGTTATAACTCCACTAATTAGTCCTATTCAAGTACCAGATCCTTTACCTGAAACAAATCCTATTCAAATACCTGATCCAATTCAAGATCCAGAAATTACACCTGTTATACCTCCAAATTTATCACCCAAAGCTAGTAAACAAAAAACAGATACATCAACCCCACAACGTACCAGATTAACTATCAATAAACGTCCAGATGAAAGTGAAAAAGAATGGGCAATTCGTCTTGCAGATAGATCTGATAAGGTTACTCATATAAAGCAAAATCGAAGCTGGTTACGTAGGAGAGGTGAAAATTTTAAAAGCTGTATAGAAAATAAATTCTTATCTCTTTTACAAACAGACCCAGAAGTGTGGCAGGAAAGAGAACGAATTGGGGGGTATACTATAGAAAGAAGGTATGAAAATGGAGGTATAGTAACATATATTTGTCCAGATTTGGATGAGCTAAATGAGGTTAAAGATAATATCAAAAAATTATCACCTCATTTATTATTGCGAAGTAATGTCCCTTTGGATCCATCAAAACCATCTCCAGAACCAATTCCACAAATCGACTCAGAAGCAGGACCAGGTCCATCAACTCAAGCAAATAGAGAGGAGGTATTAAAAAACAATTCTGTTAATGAATCAAATATTACCCAAGAAGAGATCGATTTACTTATTGCATTGGGTTTAATAGAAGAACCAGAGATCGAAGAATCCTGGCCTGAATTGGGAGGTACTCTTTTAGCAGATAAGGCAAAGAGTAAAAAATTTAGATCACGTTATAAGGATTCAGGATTTGCAAGTACTACAGTTGAACCTCCACCAGGTGATATACTCTTTGAAGAGACTGAAGTTGGAGATCCTGATAGACCACACTTAAGTTTATCTTCATTAAGTAAATGGCAGGCAATTGTTCCGTCATATGAAAATCCTGCATATGATTTCAATGCACCAATAGATGATCCCGAAAAATATGCAGAAGCTCCATATATGCCACAGCTCATGGCATCAGCTCGAGAACAAATTACAAGTGTACTTAAAGCTGAACTCCGAAGAAAAGATCAAATAAAATCTGCAATAGTGGTATACTGTAATTATATGAAAATGGAAAAGAAAGGTGAAGGTAAGGTAGCAGTTCCATTTTATATTCAAAGTCATCACAGAGGAGAAATGCGAGCTATTCTTTCAGAACAGGATATAGATGAGCATATTACTCTTTCAGCTGGAGAAATTGATGTAAAAATAGAAGAGTTTTTAAAAAGTGGATCAGGATGGACATTAATCCGAATAGAAATGATATATATTGAGGTCTATGCATATAGAAGAGCTGTTGGAGGATCATTCAAACCAACACCCAAAAATCTTGCCAATACTAAATGTACTATCAATCCAGATAACTCTAAAACAGGAGATGATATGTGTTTAAAATATGCATTTGGTCCATACTTTGCAACTCTTGATGGTATAACAAAAAATCTACAACGTCTTTCTGTTATTAAACCATATCTAAATATAGTTAATTTGGATGGTATTCCAATGCCAACACCTATTTGTCCTAGAACCTTTCAAAAGATCGAAGCCCAAAATCCAGAAATCTCAATCAATGTATGGGAATGGAAAGAGGAAACAGCTACTCCAAAACCAGTAATTGCTAGTAAAAATTTCTATATACCTAACTCATGCCAAGTTGCAGGTTGTGAACATCCAAGACCAAATGAATGTATGACAAAAAGACCACATGTTATCCATCTTATGGCTCTTACAGATGTTAATAAGTCTGAAGATACAGGTAAGTATGGACAAAGGAATCATTTTCTATGGATCAAAAATAAGGATGGCCTAATACGCAAAGATACTAAACATAATGATAAAAAATATCTCTGCAATCGATGCTTTCAAAGCTTTCCATCAGAGAATACTCGAGATTATCACCAAGATCATTGTTATGGATTAGGGGAAGCTCCACAAGTAGTAACCCTACCAAAAAAAGATATCAATGATATCGAAAAATTCAAGCACTATGCAAGGATGATGTTTGCTCCTTGTGTAATAGTTGCAGATTTCGAATCGAAAAATAAAAAATGTGACGAATCATATGGTGGAAGCATGCGCAAACTTGGTGAGCAGGTACCTAGTAGCTTTCGTTACTCAGTTCATTGGATTGATACTGGAGAGGTTTGGGGGCCTTTCACATACCGAGGTCCAAATGCTACACAGGAATTTGTTCGAAGAATGGATAAAGAACTAGTAAAAATTAATGAAGTATTAGAAATAAATAATGATATAAGAGATGATATAATCTTTGAAGTTGATAATAAAACTAAGACAGAATACTTAATAGCAAAACAAAAATTTGACGAATCTACTGAATGCTGGATTTGTAAAAAGCCATTAGATGGTGATAAGGTCTGGGACCATAATCATATTACAGGTAAGTATCGAGGTTCAGCTCATAATGATTGTAATCTTCAACTTCGAATCCAACCATGGAAGACACCAATTCCAATAGTGTTCCATAATTTCAGAGGCTATGACTCTCATCTAGTTTGTGAATCAGTTGGTCGATCTGTCAATGCTCATCAGATAACAGTTATTGCAGAAACATTTGAGCGATATAAAATGATGAAGGTGGGTCAAATGAAATACATTGATAGTATGCAGTTTATGAATTCAAGCTTGGCCAAACTTGCAGATAATTTAGGTGCTGTCAAATGCAAGGATACAGACTGCAATCATTACCATAGAATAGATAAAGACCGATGCATTGGAACTTTGGCGAATCATAAAATTACTAAACAATATTATGAAAAAATAGGATATTCACCAGAGCAAATAGCATTGGTATGTAGTAAAGGAGAACTTCCATATGATTATATCGATTCTGATGATAGATTCAATGAAACTGAGCTTCCTCCAATTGAGGCATTTGGTGGAAAACTTAATGGCAAAATCACTCAAGAAGCTTATGAACATGCCCAAAAAGTATGGAAAGAATTCGGATGCAGAAATTTAGGTGAGTATCATGATTTATATCTCAAAACTGATGTACTTCTCCTTACAGATATCTTTACAAAATTTCGAGAAACATCTATGAAACATTATGGTCTTGATCCAGCACATTATGTATCAGCACCTGCATTGTCTTGGGATGCAATGCTTAAAATGACTGGAGTAGAAATCGAACTTTTCACAGAGATATCTATGCATGATTTTGTTGAAAAAGCCAAAAGAGGTGGTATTGCAATGGCAGTACATCGTTACTTTAAAGCTAATAACCCAAGAATGGGAGATGATTATGATCCATCTCAACCCACAACATGGATCTCATATGTCGATGCAAATAATCTTTATGGATGGGCCATGAGTCAATTTCTACCAATTGGTAAGTATAAATGGCTTGCAACTAGAGCAGTTTTAAATAATAGAAAAGACTTGCAAAAGAGATATCTTAAAATGATTTTAAATACTAAAGCTGATTCCCCACGAGGGTATTTCCTAAATATTAAGGCACATTTTCCTAGCAAGTTACATGATTATCTCAATGACTTACCGCCTGCAGTTGAGAATGTTGCAATAAAAAAGAACCAGCTTAGTCCTTATAATAATAAGATAGTAGAAGATTTGGATGGAGGGCGATTCTCTGAGATAAAGAAACTAGTCACACATCTTGGTCCTCGGGAAAACTATGTAATCCATTATCAAGAGCTTCAATATTATGTAAAATTGGGAATGGTTGTGGATGAAGTAACTGAAATACTTTCATTTGATCAAACTAACTGGCTTGCACCATATATAAAATTAAATACAGAGTTGCGTCAAAAGGCTGAGAATGATTTTGAAAAGGATTTCTTCAAGCTTATGAATAATTCTGTATATGGCAAGACCATGGAAAATGTTCGCAAGTATCAAGATGTTAAGATCATGGCTATGAATAATGATAATGATGAGAAGAAGTTCCGAAAAAAAGTATCCAAACCGTCTTTCAAGTATGGTAGACAATTATCCAATACACTTATTGGTGCTCATATGGGGCAAGCATCTGTAGTTCTCAATAAACCAATTATTGTTGGTGCATCAGTCTTAGGACTTAGTAAATTATTAATGTATCGATTCTGGTATGGATATGTGAAAGAAAAATATGGTGATAAAGCAAAGCTTGGATATATGGATACGGATTCATTTATATTTATAACCGAGACTGAAGATATCTATAAAGATATGGCTGAAAGACCTGATATTTTCGATCTTACTGATTCCAAAACTATTGGCTTATTCAAAGATGAGTGTCCAGGTAAAGTAATAACAGAATCTATCCATATTCGAGCCAAAACATATCACTATGTTATATCAGACAAATCTACCAAATCAAAACATAAAGGAGTTAGTAAAGGAGGTATGAATGATTTAGCAATCAATGTTAATACTAATACATATGATCAAAAATTAGGTGGGACTTTGTTAGATGATCCAGTTCCTGAAAGTAGAATAGTAGATCCTATTACTTTGATATATCGAGATTGTCTCTTTGAAAATGAAGTATTCCATGCAAAGAATATCGGATTTCGATCTAAGAATCATGTATTATCATTGGTTGAATCTGAGAAAAAGGCTCTATGTCCTCTTAATTCAAAGAACTGGGTATTATCGGATGGAATCACACCTTGGGCATATGATCATTGGAGAATTGATGCTTATAAAAGTATGGTTAAAGCTGGTATGTCTCCCAAGTTGGCCGAAAAAAGAGCAATAGTAGCTCAGCATCATCCAACATTAGAAAACAAGTATATGGTAAATCCAAAACTATTATAGTGGAGCTAGACTTGAAGAGTCATTACAAGGTAATAGTGTCTCCGACACATATGTATAATTTATTTGCAATAACGAAGTTAGTGTCTATGACACATATTATTAGAAATGATCTACTTAGGTAACACAATTCTAGCGCGACTCTAGCGCGACTGTATCGCGAGTATATCATTTTATATATAAACATATAGGAAAAAATCTAGCGCGACTGTATCGCGACTGTATCATGACTGCAACACACTTATTTTTTGATAAATTAGTAGTTTCAGGATAATATTTTGTATGTATGAAATTAATTTATTTTCTATGAGCGATCTCTAGACAAATTTGGATGTATGAAATGCTAAATATGATCTAGGAATTTATGCATTTTGAAAAATTCATAAACTAATCAATTTTTTTTTCGTAGTACTTGGAACTTCTAAGTAATTTTCAACACTTCCATGATTTTTGTTCGAATTCTAAGAATTCCAAGATTTCCAAGAATATTTTAATTCTCAGAATATATATTATAAAAATTATGAATTTCCACGAATATTATTCGGAACTTCTCAAGAAATTACCACCTTCCATAAAAAAGAATATATGGAATCGACTTACTTCTAGAGTACATAATCCATTGACAGAAGAACAAGCAAGTAGTATTAATCCTGATATTGAGACATTATTGATTAGTGAGATTGATAAATATGAAAAGAAAAAAAATCGATATCGAATCAGTCACAAAGTATCCTGCTCTGCTAATACACAAGTAACTGATATGTGCCCTGGCACCAGCTCTGATGTTGAGGAGGAGATTAATGCTCGAGTCAAAGAAGCTACAGATAAAATGCATCAAAGGTTTATTGAAACTACACAGGAAACATTAAATTCTATTAAGCAACGGAAAGATGCAGAGTGTAAGCAAATTAAGCTGGATATGGCTAATAGAGGTAAAGATTTATTTGAGTCTACATTAAAAAAATTTATTCGAGATGGAACTATATATTATCTCATTCATGATTTGGAGAATGAAGATGGTAGAACATATCCTGATATATCCAGGAAAAATTGATCTATATATTCTCCCCATCTAGTTTTTTTTTGGGTTAAAGCCTTCTGGAGCATGCCATGGTTCTAGCTTCTCAGTTGTAAAAATTTCTCGTTGTGATTTATGAACTGAAAGTGGTAATGTAACATGTACATCATTTTGACATGCCTTGAATTCCCGGTTTACAATGGGTTCCCATCCAAGTTTACTAAGTAAAGGATTACCAAATAATACTAGGGACTTATAATCTCCATTTTTATTTTTTTCAGCTTTAACTATTGAAAAATTATCATAGGCTGTAATTGAATTTTTTCCATCACTGATTGTTACAGGTACATTATAAGATGTTCCTACAACATTGGCATTACTTGCAAGACCGGTAATATTTGGGATATTTGATTTATCTATTTCAAGTCCCATTTCTTCAGCAATATTATCACTAATAACTGACTCATTAGATCCCGAATCAACCAGTGAATAAGGTATAGTCATTGAAGCAACCTTACTAGTAATTGTTGCTACATCATCAGGATCTTTGGGGTGAATAAAATTAATCTCATATCTCGGATCAGGCCAGTATGATTTTTTTGTTTGCTGGATAAAATGTTTCTTGATAGCAAAATTTAATGTATTTGATTGTGGATGCTCCTTGGATTTATTAATTCGATCAACAGCTACAATTAGTGAATGTAAAATATCTTTATAAACTTCTGTAACCTGCCCCCAAATTACTTCTTTCTCCTTAGATGAATATTTTGAGGCATAGTTATCTAAGAGTGTATTTTTCAAACTATCGTATACATTACCTAAATAACTTAAAGCTTCTACTAAAATATTCTCAGGACATTCCTTAATCAATGCCTCTATTAATGACTTACATGAAGCTCGGAATATTTTTTGAATCACAAATACTGAAGAGGGCTTTTTTGATTGATTTTTCTTCTTAGAACCAGATTTGGTTATCTTTTTTTTTAAAGCAAATGTATGTCGAGAATTATCATCTTCTTCCTCACTTTCATAATAGGATTTCTCATTATCAGATTCTTCTTCTGAAGGGTCATCTGAATAAAATTCCTCATCATCATAATCATCACCATCAGATCTTATTGCGTAATTAGTCTTTTTAGTAGGTCTTTTCTTTGGTTTAGGACATTGGTTTTTTCTATGACCTGGCTTACCACAATCGGAACATTTGGAAGATGTTTTGCTAGATTTTTTATTTGTATAAACTTTTTTTGCAGGAAAATTTCGTCTACTGCCAAAAGGTTCTTTTCTAAGATTATAATTTGCATGACCTAATCTTTTATATAATTCATCTTCAATAAAATTTTCTAAATCATCAGGATTTCGTGATGCATCATCTGGATAACCTAATCTCATAGCAATAGTTTCTAAATGATCCTGTGATTTATTAACTATTTTTTGTGGAATATGAGGTACATTAGGGCTAATAACATGCATAGAATTTCTATTTCCATTATATGTAAAAGTATGAGGTTGTCGCTTAAGCCAGATATTTTTTAGATTGGTAAAGAATGCATCTATGGTGACTGGAGCTGTAACTTCCATTCTTGAAAAGAGCTCATCTGGTAAGTGATTCCATAAAATTGCTAAGGCATCAGCATTATCATTTGGTGTTTGTAATAATAAAAGTTGAATTCTTTCTTCATAAGATTCTGGAGTATCAGTAGGTAGAAACTTCTCTTGTGTCAATTTTGTTAAAGAAGCTTGTCTTGTTCCTACAGTTAATTCGTGATATTTAAATCTAATCCAAGCTTTGAATCTATCAGGTGTATTAATAGCAGTACCAGTTGGATATTCAGCAGGAACTGGAACATATTTACCCGCCATTTTTGATTTATAAATATCTGCTTTATGGGCATCTGTAAAAGTATTGGCATTTGTTGTATTAGCATCAGTAATCATTGTATCTGCATAAGCAATTGCTTGTTGTATTTTATTACAATAATCATCTGGTGGTTCTTGTCCTATATAATTAGGAATATGAGAAAGACTGGTTTGGATTGTTTGATAAATATGTTGTCTATCGGCGGCCGCCATGTTTGGATTTATAGGTGGATTATTCTGTAGTAATAAAATTTGTTGATTCAAATTAATAATTAATTGCTGAGAATTGCGCTCCCTATTTTTCCACTTGATATGTCTTGCCTTTCGATCCTTGAATTTATTGTAATATCTATCAAAGAGCCGATCTCGATTATATTCTAATAATCCTTTATCAGCCTGACATTGTTGTAACCCCTGTTGTAATTCTCTACCATGTCTTTGACACCTCCGGAGTTTAAAATTAAGTGCAAGCTTATCAAGTAATAAAGTATTAATCCGCATCTGCATTCCTTTTTCCAATTGTTTAGCTACCCTCCACCAATGACGACGTTCTTCCCGTTCATTATAATAAGCTGTAGTCATCAAAGCAAGATCATTCTGAGAATTGTTACGCTCTAGTGTAAGTTGGTTAACATGATTTTGTAAAGCAATATTTTGCTGTCTAAAATGATTGACATCTTGCTGTAATTGTACTATTTGCGCATCTCGAGCATCTCGTTGATTTGTAACATCATCTAAATCCTGGTCTATTCTTTGATAATTAGCCCAAATAGTATTTAAAGTGCCATACATACCTTGGATAATATTGACAGGATTAATTAAGGGTGTACCCCCCGTGAAATGGTTTTCAAGGCGATTTAATCCTCTAGTGATATTTATAAAGGGGTCTATATGTGCCATATCTGTATCTTCTTCTGAATTATATAAGATAGGAGAGCTTCTTCTTGAAGAAATAATTTTGAATCTAAGCCTTAGATTTTGAACCCGCTCTTCTGATTCTTGTAATTGCTTCTCTATAATATCAGTATAGGATACCTTATCTCGGATTTCCTTTTTAGCTTGATATAAGCTTCTTTTAAGGGACGCTATCTCCGATCTCAACTCCGCCTTTTCTTCCTCCAAAGCATTATCAAGCCATTCCAGTTCTTTATTGAGGGATTGGATTTCTTTCTCACACTGGGTATATTTGTGCTCTAGCTCATTTATGTATTTCTCATTTGACTTATTGATTGAAACTTCGTTAGATAACTCATCTCTTAAAGCTTGATTTACCTGCTCCAATTCCAATTCTCGATTAGATACTGGTTCATGAGATATTCTCTTAGGATGTGGTCGATGAAATGCCATGGATATTACGAAGTAATGAGACTCTGTCTCTATTTTTTTTATTGTATAATATATCTCCTGACTTTGCTAAAACATTATAGTAAAGAATGATCCCTGTTATTTTTATTGATACTAAAAAAGTTCGTGAACTTGATATTGGTATTGCTCTTAGAAAATTATATTATCAAGCTTCTGGTTATCAAAGAACTGCACAAAATCTTTTTAAAGCATCTTTGAAAGCTGGATATGATTTTACTTTATCCGAAATAAAAGAATGGCTTGAGAAACAAGCTCTATATCAAATTCATAAACCTCGACCAAAGTATATTCCTTGTGCTAGTTTTAATAAGATTACTGTTCCAATGGAAGTTATACAGGCTGATTTATGTTATATGCCCCATGATCAAGTTGGAAACAAGATATATAAATATGCTCTTAATTGTGTAGATATAGCAAGTCGAACTAAGTGGACTTATCCTTTGACTGATCGAGATTCTGCTAGTGTTGCTAAAGGATTTTTAAAACTTTATAAATTTCATAATTTTCCTCTTACACAACTAAAGATATTGCAAACAGATTATGGTTCTGAATTTTACGGAAAATGTGAAAAGTTAATGATTAAGTATAATATAGAAATTAGTAGAAGCAAATCAAAAAAAAGACAAGGTATAGTTGAAAGATATAATCGAACTTTACAGGAGTGGTCATTCTATATTCAAGATGGTGTAGAGTTGTTATTACCTCCAATGGAACGTTGTAGAGCTTGGGTGAATGATCTTCCTATATTTCTTGAAAAGATAGATAATACTAAAACCCGATTAATTGGTATGTCTCCTGCTGAAGCTCGAAAATTAAAACATGTATATGCTAAGTCATCTAAACCAAGATATGGACCTATGGGGTTTGATGAAATTCGATTATCATATAATGATCCTGTTAGATACTTACTTGAACCTGGTGAATTGGAGGGTGGTAGAAAAAGAGCTACCGATTTTAATTGGTCACCTCAAATATATCATATCAAGGAATCTCTGGTACAAAAAAATCAACCAGTCTTATACTGGATTGAAGATATTGATGGGAATGGTCCAAAGCGGTCTTTTGTTCGAGAAGAATTGATGGTTGTCAAGAATGTTGAATACCCGCCTCAGAGAATACTCAAGAGTTAAGGAAATCACCTGCTTCTTCTTCGATTTCTTCATTAGTAGCAAAGTGGTTTTTGGCTAATTGATAATATAAATCACTAAGTTTTAATACAGCTTGAAGAATTTTTGGTTCATTTTTATACCATTCCTGATATTGACTTTTCATTGATATATATTTATCCTCATTAGGATATATTCTCTTTGCATTGTTCAAGATATAAATATCTGGATCTTCAGCTTGATGTAATTCAGTATATCGCTTTTTATAATTTTGCATAAACTTGCCATCCTTTTCTTTTTTATAATAGACGCCTGCTTTTACTATATTAACTATAGCTTTTTCGATATCTTGCCAGGTTGGAATAGAGGACTTAGCATCTGTAGATACTTGATCGATATTTTGAATAGTAGTTGACATTTGAATATGTGTTATGTTTTGATTATCTAAAGTTTTGTATATTAATAATATAAAAGTTTTTGTTTAAATAATTATTTCACTATATATAAAAAATGATTGGTGAATATACTTGTCCATTCTATCATAATTCCGGTGAAGTTTGTGGAAGAACTTGTATGAGATCTGAAGGGTGTAGTTATCATTGGAAAGCTAAAAGAAGAGTACCTTGTACTGATTGTGGAAAGCCGACTGGTTCATCTTCTGGCCGATGTCCATTGCATATTAGGGGGTATTATGTGATCCAGTACTATCATAGGTTACGTGCTAATGCAGACAAATGGGTAGATCCTCATAGACTCAATAATTCTGGATGCTGTATAAATCACTGTTTAATCAAAGATGGATTTAATCATTGTATTCATTGTTCCTCAGAAAATAATGACGAAAATCATGAACTTAGTTTTCAGGTTTGATAACAATATGTGAGCTGATAGAACCTTGATAAGTGAAAAAACCTGGCCCAAATTTTGTTACCCTTTGATATATATGTGTCGGAGACACTAGCTCCACTATAATACGAAATTTTGTTACCTATGATTACATTTTTTGTTACCCTTTGGTATATATGGTATGAAATTTTGTTACCCTTTATGGTATATGGTCGCATTTTTTGTTACCCTTTGAGGTGTATGGTCACATTTTTTGTGCCAGAAAAGCCAGAAAAGTAGTGAAGAATCGGTTTTAGATTGAATTCTGCTATATCAAAAAAAATGATATCATTCTTGATATGGATTTGGATAAAAGATTGTGTTCTAGATGTATGAAAAAATGATATGCTATTTGGTGTTTTGTGGGGTGTATTGATAGCAAAATGATTAGTGATAAAAATCGTTATCCTTTTTGATATGAATTTGGGTAAAATAATGTATTCTAGATGTATGAAAAATGATATGCTATTTGATATTTTGAGCTTTGAATTGATAGCAAAATGACTAGTGTTAAAAATCGTTATCCTTTTTGATATGAATTTGGGTAAAATAATGTATTCTAGATGTATGAAAAAATGATATGCTATTTGGTGTTTTGAGACGTGAATTTATAGTAAAATGATTACCACTGTGCCAGAACACCCATTTTTTCCCTACTAGAAACACTATCTGTAGATAAATTATTACGTTTTTTGGTGATCTGGTTTCCAATGTCTGAAAAAAGCCTTTCAGATGGCACTGAAGTTGCGCTTACACACAAATATTTCAATGCTAATTCTGACATTAAAGGAAATTCATTTTTCTTTTCAGCCCACCATTTTAGAGGATCAGTATTTTGGGGTATTCCTTGTATCTGAAGATATCAATCCAATTCATTATCACCATCATGATCATTGCTATTACCTAGTTCATCAAATATAGAATCAAAAATTGAATTGTTATTTTTTGTTCTAATTGATTCATTGATTGTGTTTGATAATTCCAATGGTGATGCCAATAATGATGGTGGTGCTATTGATATTTGCTCTTGTGTTTTTTCCTTCAAATTTTTAATTTTATTTGATATTAAGTTATACTGTAAATATTATCTGAAAAATAATAGCATAAATATCCAATACTGCTGGAACTATATTATCTAACAAATCTATGGTGCTCCTATATTCTGTATCCTTACAACACCTTCCAAATTTTTCAATTATGTTGCTTGCTACTTGTTTCCAGCCTTTATCCATTAAATCTAAAAGAGTGTTTATTTTCCAAGGCATTGGTTTTTTTGCTAATTTTTTATTTTTTCCAAAAACAAATTTATATAGTTGTTCAAAAAAATTCCAATGAGTTGAAATTGTTGACTCCCTCATATTTAAAGAGACATGTAATGGTCCAAGAAGAGGAAATAAAGCTATTAATAATTTTGGGGATCTTCAAATTATTTGGAGAATCATTCATTGATTTTTGATATAATGATACAGCTCTTCGAATAAATAACTGCCCAGGAAAATCTGCAACAATAGGAATCACATAATGTTGAAGATATTCATTCAATGTAGGAATAC